GCACTAACATGCTTCAGTACAGGTTCTATGAAATTGCCATCATAATAAATCTTCTCAACATGGAAACCCTTTGGGCTCCAAATAACAAAGTCACACCACAATCTCTCAGTTATTGCCATTTGAGTTTGTATTTGGTATTAATATGGGTGACTTCGTTTTAACTTCATAGAAGTTCGAGTAATGGGAGTACAACAAAATGAAGTACGCTGTTGAGGTGTAAGAAGATGTAAATCAGTCGGATTATATTTTTCCAAAATTTTTGGACACTTTATTGCTAACACTCCGGTTGTATTTTTCAATGGATCTGAAATTAAGCCATCTGGCGATGCGCCTAATCCTGAATACTTGGAATTCACCCACAAGCCACTACTCTTTACTTCGTAAGAAAATTTTTTAGAAGTAAAGTCTTCATATTTTTTACGCGCAATATCTTCATTCGCTCGACCATATTGCATTGCCTCAGTGGTTATATTTTGCTCAAACCACAATTGAGATTTGACTAGAGCAAAAATTTGGTCATTCGTTTTCTCAGTCTTAAATACTTTAATTTTAGAAGCTGTTATCAATATTTTACGGTATTGCCACCATTTTCTAATACATAATCCTCGTATTGCGGCTGCAGTAATAATTGCCACATTGAAGGAGCTTTTCGACTAGCATTTATTAATTGCAAATCTGATAAAAAATTATTAATTTTTTGTTTGTCTATAGGTCTTGTTAAACTTCGGCCAGGATCATATGATCTGCGTTTACTCATATCATTTTTATTTTTATATTGCTGCTCATCTGCTTTGTGAGGTTCTTTTTTCTTTCTACCTTGATTCCAGCTACATAGTTTACTTGTACAAGGAACATTATCTTCGTCACAATCATCCAAATAATTCAATAGTACATATAGTAGAGCAGCTACATGAGAACAACGGCCCATACTAGAAGCTTTGCAATCACATGTACCATGAATCACTCGAGCAGTTAACGGATTGATCATAACTGACACTTGATGAATTTCTTTAGCTTTATACGAAGCTTGAATTTTGCACTTCATGCAAAACATCTGATCAGATGTTACGCCTTCAAAAATTTCAAAAACGTGGCCGCTTTCTACATACAATTTTTCTCGTTTTAACGGTTTTGACGTACTATAATCAGCTTTTGGAGTTTGATTATTATGGTCTTCATTTTCAATATCACTGTTATCATAGTCGTCATTTATGCATGATGTCACTAGATAATGGTACATAGATCCGTAGGTGAAATTCTTAGGTACTTTGTTAGAAGGAAATGGTTGCCAAATGTTAGGATAATTTATTTTAGGACTCTGCACTACATTTGGATTTTGATTAAGTGTATTTAGAATATTTAGCCATTTTCCTTTGTCAACTGTTTGGTCCACTGGTACATTATTCCTAATTGCATTTTTGACTCTGTAAATTTTTTATATATTATTTATTTATTTATTTGTTTATTTATTTATTTATTTATTTATTATGTCGCATTAAACATTTTGTTTCTGATAAAAAATTTCTAAACATATTTACATTTGTCTAATTAATAATGTCATGTATAGCCTCAAAATATTAATGACTTAATTTATTAATTACTTCCGTAAGTATTACTCATGTTAACTAAAATATATTTACAATTATTACAAATGAATTGACATTATTAATAAGAATAAAATGTAAATATTAATTTATTTTTTTATGTTTTTAGATAGTCAACAAATGTCAATGTCTAACCTCTCAATCAGCTCACTTTTTTTCCCTTTTTGCGGACGCCCATGACATTTTAGCCACCTCTTCAATTGTTCACAATTATGAGCTTCAACTGAATCATAAATAAGTGAAGCACCATCGATGGTTTTTTCCAATAATTTATTTCTTTGTGGAGATAATAGTCCTTGTCCAGCCATTGTTGATTAAAACAGTACGAATTTTTTGAATTACCGCCGTTTCAACATGGCGGCTACGCTTGCGCTCATCTGATGATGAAAAGGCCTATTTCGGCTTCCCGTCGTAGAGCGCATGCGCGACTCGACCACGGCATAAATGTGAGGCTTTCTGCCGTAAAATCGCAGCGGGAACCCCGTACTTTCGACCAGCGTAGTAAGAAATAGTATATTACACTATTAGGGCAGAAAGTTTGAAATTCCTGCACTGCGCGCCATGATGCCCGAGGCGAAGCCTTTCAAACTTCTGCCCGTGCAGTGTATACTATTTTTCTTTATAGCCGGTCGAAAGTACGAAAAATATTGTGTATATTATATCAAAAGAAGTTGATGCCTGCCCCCGACATTTGCGGCACGAGCGAAGCGAGTGCTGCTGGTCGGGGGGAGGGGGGGCAGGCATCAAAGCAAAGAAACCAATGTAAATAAATAAAAGACTTATTTTATTTAAACACGATAAACTGTTAAATTGAACAAACATAAACATTTTTAAAATTAACTAACATACATTTTTGTATGGTTGGGAAATATAAAGAATAATAATATTATCGATAAGTTAATAAATCATTAAGATTCACATTATTTTTTTATGTCAGTCGACATAATTTTGTTAATTAAATAAATTAAATCCTTCACGATTTAAATTCTCAATGCTTTATGAAATATACAATCAGCGTAAACAAAATACGGTTAGTAACAAATAACGAACATAATTGGGGTACTGAAAGCAACTTCACACATGTTTCAATGCGGTAGAAAAGTTTTTGCTCCCGCTGTAACAAAAGATGTATGCGTAGCTCTACCAATGCACGAATGTTGAACTTTCTGCTTTAAAAAGGTGCAAAATTTGCGTACTTTCGACCGAGGTATAAAGAAAAATACATAAAGTAAGCACCCATTACCTTCTAGAGGTAATGGGTGCGATTCGATAACTCTATCGAACTTTTCGCTCTTATTAAAATATTTGACTGATACAGTAGACTATTCTATCCAACAGAATTAATAAATCAGATTATTCTTTGAACGCTAAATATTTCGATAACAAAAAAAATATGATTGTCAATTTTTTCCGTTATATTTTTAAAGAGAATTCACTAATTTTAGTAGATCGTCACTTCATTTTACGGTTTATCTAAAAATCATCGGACTTTAATAATATTCGGTATTCACTATAGAATTTAAAATTTTATTACAGTTAAAAAAGAACTTCATAAAAATTTAATAAATTTTTTCTGTTACTTAAACTTTATTTGAAAACAATATTAAATTTCATTTTTGGAATTTAATTGCTCAATCTAACATTCTGCTTAGAAAATCTTTGGACTACTTTTTGCCACCTATCGGCTGTCGCGTAAATATATACTTAATGTGTTTAGAAAAACTTGGGAAAAAATATAATTTTTTCTCCATTTCAGTTTGCATAGTAAAAAACAAAAATTGTATCATACTGCAAATTGCGATTAAAAATTATTTGTTCATGAAGAATATATTAAATCCCAAAATACAAAGTTTATAATTTAACTGAAGTTAGTTTATTATCAAAACTTATCGAAAAATAGGCTCAAATTCCTTATTGACTAGAATGAGAGCGCGCAATTTAAATATCTCATAAATATAAATTTAAATTAGATTATGACCAGACTTTCATTGAAAACTCGAAAAAGAAACTTACTGTTCCTGTTATAACGTAAAATTTCTTAGAAGAATCATCACAATTGTAATTACATAATATATTTTATAAATTTTTGGCGATTTAATTCTCTCATTTTATGAACTTCTTATAATATTAATGTTAATTAAAAATTAAATAAACTTGATAAGTCATGAACCGTCATATCCTTTTGAATCGGGTGAACTTTTCAAAACATGATTTGAAGTTTCCATCAATATTCTACGGATTGGTCAGCTCTTGTAGGATGACTGCAGTACCATTCTTTGGCAGATAGTTTTTTGTCACACACAAAATTAAAGCAGCAATCATCATTTCGAATACACTACAATCATACAATTCAAAATATATTAAATGAATAACTTCGATTACTGTCATTATTATCATTATTTACAACTTACCCTTGAACCGATTACTTTGCAACGACCAAAAACCACAGCCGACATCACAGCAATAAGCAGAAAGACCATCAAGACTTTCATTGTCATTTTTAAAAAAACTTGAGGTCAACTAAACAGTAGAAGTATTTCTCGACACAGATATTACAGTTTGTCGAGAACCAATTTATACTCGTTTATTGTCATAGCATGACGTATAAAAAAAACCCAGTCTATAGTAGTTCACCTTTGCAAGAAATTAATGATTATTGCTAATGACTTTATTTGTAACGAGATAATTTTTGATTCTCGAAACTTATATAATCAACCTTAAAAATATTGAATTTTAAACGTTTGATTACATTATTTGATTATACACTCAGAATAATTTACTAACTGTTTTGATAAATTCATTTAATAACAGTTAATAAATCTTAATAAATATTTTTGCCAGTGTATTATAGAAATTTACAACGTTTAAGCCTCTTTAGTTAATTCGTGGTTCCTACCAAAATAATTAAATTTGTATAACAAATTGGTTAAAAACACCCATTGTTGTCAAAAGCAATTAAACGAATGGACCAACTATGAAAACACAAGAAATCGTGATTTGTATGATATCTAGTGAGACTAATCGGGACTTTTGTTAACAATAAAAAAATTGTACAGGAAATTATGTCCTGTTGTCTGTCAGGTGCATCCGGTGTATCTGATGAGAATTTTTTGGCATACCAAACAATACGTCCATTAAATATATCAGCATATATATTTCACTCAACTTTCGCCGATGATAAAAGATCTCCCAAGTGAAACTAATTGTTCTCTGGCGGGTGAAATTTCCAACGGTTAGAAGCTATATATCCTCTGACATCTTCCCGAGGGTCGCTAGTGTTCGACCGTTATTCAAACTTTTGATTTCAAGCAGCATACATGTCGCATCATGACCAAGTTACGCGATTTTATATTGATTCTCCTGTCGATCTACATTCCTACTGTGATTACGGTTATTATGGAACCTAAGGATAAGAACATTTCTGAAAACAGTGACACTAATTCTAATCCCAATCCCAATTTCGGGTCCAAAAACAATCGGAACCACGACAATGTCGAGGGTAGTTTCTCGCGAGTGTTTACGCAATGTGTGGATAAAAAAGTTCATGGAACACTCGAGTGCTTCAATGAGGGCAGTTTTAGTGTCTTAAGGTCAATGAATGATGAAGACCGGCTGGATTTTGGGGATGTGAGGCTGGATAAATCTGAAAGTGAAGCTAGGGATCTGATGGATCTTGATTATGATCCAAAAGATTTTAGTATTGTGGTCAAGGCTGCTGCGAGGATGATGGAGAGGCGGAATTTGAAGTGGGACCTGGGATACTTCTATCCAGGGTTGATGATGAAAGTCGGTCCTGCATTGAATAGCAATGGGATGCTAGAGTTTGCTCTTGATGAAAGAGTTGCTGGACATTCTAACCGACAACTGGGTCCAGGTGAGGTTTTATTTTTTATTTAGTTATTTTATGTCTGAAAAAATATGTAAGTGGTATCAATCAATCTTTGAGGAAAAAAAAATTGTAGATTGATTGTATAGACTGAAATTTCACTTTTCTAAAAATTAAACTAAAAAAAATTCTAGGAATAAAAAAAAATTATAAATTTTTTAGTGATTTTTGACGGGCTAGATCCTCTAAATTAAAATACATGAAAATCTTGAAGTTAGTCATAGATCGAAACTTGAAAAAAATAGGCCACGATTCCTTATTGGTTGAAATTAAGGCAAGCGCGTAGCGCGTTATTTAAATTTCTAGTCTAAGTAAAAAGTAATCGTGCACGGAAACAAAAATGTGGAAATCCTTCCTATAATTTTAATGAAATGTTTTCCTATACCATTTTAGGAGCGATTACTTAGATTATGGGAATACTACCCATAATTTTTGGGAAATGTTTCTATAATTATGGGAATGGTTCCTATAATGATAGGAACGATACCTATACTTATAGCTATCATATTATCGGCATGATTCCATAATATATACACTGATAGAAAATTTATGTTGACTCAAGAGATATTTTCTTGATCTAAGAATTTATTATGGAAGACAAATGATTATTTTGCTTTAAGAATTTCTTGTCTTGATTTAGATTTTCTTGGCTTGAGAGCTATATTATCTTCAATCGATACATTTAAGTTTTTCAATCAAAATAACATTATCGTTTAAAAAACTTAAAATGATTCATCAAAGTATATTTCAAAAACTAAATAGTCTTTGATTGTTATACCAAATAAAAATTATTTTTTGGAAATAAGTAAATCAATTAATGACTCAAAAAAAAGCCATTCTTAACACAAGTCGGTAACATCTTGAATCAATGTTATCGCCTATCTTGAACCAAGAGACAAAAATTCTTGAAAGAAATATATCTATATCTAGTTTCAAGAGTTCAAGTTTTGAAGAGAAAAAGTTTCTTGAATCAAGATTGTTTTTCTATCAGTGTAGGAATGGTTCCCATAATATATAGGAATAGTTTCTATAATATTATAGGAATGGTTTCCATAATTAAAGGAATAAACGCTATATATTATAGAAGCCATTCCCGTATGTTATAGGAACTATTCCTACAATATTATGGGAACCATTCTCATAATGTTATAGTAATGATGCCTATAATATTGAAATAATATTTGTTCACACAACAGTACAAGCATCACTTTTCTAATATATAGAAAAACGATCAAGTTTCTGTGACGTTGAAAATTTAATGTTATTACACTCATAATAAAATATTTTATTGACCATTCGACTAATTTTGACCAGTTTGAAGCATTTGAAATTATTAGTAATTTCGATAATTTTACTTGCTTCCCAATAACATCATTTGAAATATGTAAAATATAATAATTATTTTATATTTTTGAAGTGATTGCTTTATTGTTATGAAAATAAACATTTTTCTATTATTAGGTGCGTCATTTCCATAATATTATAGGAACCATTCCCATAATATTATAGTGATGAGTCATCACTGATGACGCACATACAATAAAAACCATAACCATAATATATTACAGCTATTCCATTATTGTATAGGAACTTTTCCAATAAACTATGGGTATGGTTCCCATAATGAGCATAGGATTGATACTTATAATGATCATTTTACTATAGGAACCATTCCCATAACTCTCTGGAAAGGTTCCTATAAATTTCTTTCCGTGTGTCGCTGAATTTAAAAAAAACCGTTTTGACGCTTCAAAACTCTAGTTTTCGGAACTTTATGTTTTTTTTTTTTAACCTCTATATATACCAGATAGCTTGAACATTCAGTTTCAATTTTTTTTTATTAACGCTTGCTACGTTCCTTTGTCGTGAAGATATTTGAAATTAATCGAAAAAAGATCCTTTTATCTTCAACGGGAAGGTTTAAGTTTTCACGAATATTTTTTACCATCATGTATTCCCAATAGCTCTGTAAGTTTGCAGATTGATCCATCAAGCAAATTTTCTGAGCGGATTATTCGAAGCTTAGGGGAAAATAAAGGAAGATTTGTTCTTTAAATTGAATATTTTTTCAAGTTTTCAGAAATTGCTGAAAAATTTTTCTCTCGTTTGTGTTGTTGTTTTTACATCGACGAATAACGCATATAGACAAAAAAATGAGGAAAATGAATTTTTTTTTACAAGAAAATAAATTTCGACTGCGAAAACATTGTTGATGAAATGTTTTCATAACATTTTTTTTTAACTAAGTTTTATTAATTGAACAAATAAAGTCATCAACAGAAAATAAAAATAAATAAAAAGTAATTGAGTTGAAAAAAAAAAAAATTAATTATAATTTAAAAACTGGATGATCCCAAGAAAAGGCTAGTTATAAATTTTTTTCAAATATCGAAATTACATACAATAATTGTTGGTATTTCATGGAAAAATATTTTATGTAAAATTAACAAGCAGGCATTTACTAATCACATCAATCAAGCACATGCTGTTATCAAGGCGGTTCAATTATAAGTCTTGATCAAACATAATTATGATAGTAATTAGTAATTAGTGTTGAGTTAAGGTAAAGTTTTCTTATAACTTCTTTACTTCTTATAATTATAACGCATTTGCTATCATTAGTTAAGCATTTTTAAAACAAAACAGGTTTACAAAAAAGTTTTTCTGCTGATATGAACACTAAAATTTTTCATTTTGACTTAAAAATTTCATGACATAAAATATTTTTAAATTTAAATGAATATTTTCTATTAATTTACTATTTTATTTTCATTTTTCTTACAATATTTAATATTCATGAGAAAAAATAAAAATTTAAAGATTTAAAATTTCATTACAAAAAAAATTTTCGATACCTTGAAATTCAAAATAACTTTTCCTATTTTATTTTAATTTTTCTTAAAGGAAAAATAAAAATAAGATGAAAAATTGTTATTTTAACTTAAAAATTTCATTGCAAAACAAAATTGTCGATGTCTGAAAATTTAAAATAATTTTTTTCTATTAATTTTCTATTTTTGTCTTAATTTTTCTTACAAAATTCGACATTTATAAAGAAAAATAAAAAACAAAGGAATAAGAACCTCTAGAGGCAAAACCTTGAAACATTAACGCGTTAAACACCTCAGTCGATACAAGGATAACTTAGCATTGAATATTATCAAGTTCAAGGTGTAGAAGGTTGGAGATTCTTCCGCTAGGTGGTGGTTGAATCGAGGCCATTACCAATGAACTCATTTTGGCTACATTGGTTAAACTAACGCCTTGTATTTTATATTACTTTTTTAATAAAAAAAAAAAAAAAAAAATGAACTCATTAATTCCCACTATCAATCTCTTCCGTAGAATGTATAGTTCTTAAAATAGCTCGCTACTGCTAAGATACTATTTGATTATAAATATAAGAGTATGTTCGTATTCTGTTTCAGGAAGAATGATAATGAGGAGCGTAGTAGTGCCCTTTCTTCTGGGCCTAAAGTTCAGTCTGTCCTCACTAATTCCCTTGGTATTCGGGGTCCTTGTTGTCGTGACGAAGAAAGCCTTGTTACTCACGAAAGTAGCGCTTATTATAAGCGGACTACTTGGATGGAATGCATTTGTGAGCTCGCCAAACATCGCCGGACTTTCTCACGGTGCACCTTCTGGATTTCAAAGTAATTACAATAATTTCAACGGATTCCAACATCATTTTCAGCACGGTTATGATCACAATACAATCAACGAGCACCACTATCCTTATCGTCCCTACAGAAATTTCGTCAAAGACGTGCCAGGGTACAATCACCATGTTATTAAAGAAGTTGTCGAAGTTTACGACCCTGAAAGTGATGCAAGGCGTGATAATACTCGAAGCGGAAAAAATTTTCTCTGGTCACGGGATTAGTTGTTGATATATATTTGTTATTTTTCTTTGTTGTTTATTATTTGTTATTATTTGTAAAATTATTTAATAAAACAAGATTCTATAAAAACCATCTAGCTTCATCAGCAACCGGGAATTTTTCTTCTATCTTCCAATTTCGCATCACTAATTCCAAAAAATCATAGATTTTTTTTCGTACTTTTTTTTTGTCGTAGAAAATTCTTTCAATAGGAAATTCTATTGAAAGAATAAAAGATAAATTTTAACAATTTTTTACTTTAGGAAAAAAATACATTTTTACGTTTAGAAAAAAAATCTGCAAAATTATTTTTAAGTTTAAAATTTTCAAAAATTTACCAATTAATTGTAAATTAATTTTCAAACTCTTTAAGATCGAAAAAATGAGAATTATGTAGAATTTTATATTGGAATTTTGAAACTGCATTATCATCTGAATGCTTAATTCGATTTTAATTTTCTAGATAACAATAGACGTAGTTTATTGATTACAAAAAGTTTTTTCATGATTTCAAGTTGATTAGTCAAAAAATTTTAAAGTTATCCCGAAAAAATAATCACAGTTTTTTTGTTTTAGTTTTTTGAATATTTTGGAAACGGTTTGGTCAATTCACTCCAAAATTTGATCAAATTTTATTCTTGATAAACTCTCAAACTCAAACCAATAGCTACTAAATTTTAAAAAATGGGATGATAAAATTTTTTGACGTGATAACGTCTTATAAATTGATGAACACCAGCAACACACATGAAAAATAGTAACGTTCCGCCTGAGCCTGTGTGTGCAAGCGAGAGCGCGCAACAAGCGATAGAGAGGCACGATAAAACAAACGATAGAGAGGCCTAAGCATTGGTTTGTGACACACATATCTCTCTTCTCGCGTGACGTCAGAGCTAGCAGTTCGAATATTGTTCTATAACTAATTGTTCGTGAATATTTAAACAAATTACATAAATTAAATTTGCAAAAACTGTAAATAATATTTGAAAATTAAAAATTAATGTTTATAACCAGTTTTAAAAATATATATATTTATGTCAAATTATATCAAATTGTTATTATTAATAATATTAATAATTAATAATAATTATGAATAAATAAATTAATAACAAATATAAACAATAAATTAATAAAATAATAATAATAAATAATAAAATAATTAATATTAATTATAAATAATAATAATTATATCAATTATCAAATTATTATATCAATTTTTAATTATCAATGTATTAATAGTATTAAAGTACTTATTCTTTGTTAAAATAATTTTTAAATGTTTAAAATTTTTTAATTTTCAAATACAAAACAATGATGATTCAGTGATAATAATTCAATTAAATTTATAAAAGTATGTAATTTTTCATCAATGTTTCTTTATGACGTTATCACGTAAAACAATCGTCCGAAAATCGACTTTACAGACAACCAATTTTTTTTATATTTGATTCGAGTTCCTAGAATATGAAGTAAGTTATCTACTCAATCTAATAAATTACATAAATTACACATTTCGTGTCTATTTAATATCAAAGCTACGGTATAAAATTATGAGGGCCAATGTTGAAGTGAAACTCGTATCCATTCATAAATAATTACTTCAATCACGATATCTCTTCACGTGGACTAATTCGTGAATGAATCTGTGGTAATTGAAAGCTTATATTAAAAGCGCTATTAAATTTCAAATCACTGAAAATTGGTCCACTGGTTTACGGTCATAGATGAAAAACTTGATAGATATTCATAGTTTTTTTTAATGATTCTTGCTAATATTATTATATTTCAAATAAGCCATGATAATTCAATTAAAATTACAAATAAAACGTGCAATTTATTTATAGAAACTATTTTAAAAAAAATCACATATAACCACAAAATATATCCACACCCTTATTAAACGAGGAAATTAAAAAGTATTAAAAGTGATTTAATTTTGAATAATTATTCATTCAATAAATTATAATTTATGATCCTTCAAATCATTTTAAATACTCTCTTGAAGGCGTTTCACAAATGCAAATCATTTTTCTTGTACTTGACAATCAACAGTAATTTTAACAATCTCTTTTGTGTGAATATGTCAATAAAAGACCCATTAATATATAGTTCAACATTTTCGCTGCGAAAAATCATCGGTGAGTTACTACTTTACGCTTTGTTTCATAACAACTTATTGTACACCAATATCATAATTCTACACAATAAATCAGTCTAAACATTTCCATCTTTTTCCAATAATAACCTCTGAACCATAACGGTCCCAATAATCCATTTCCCATCAAATCAAACCGCAATCGAATCTCATAAAACAAAGCCGCAATAATTAAATGAAGTATCAATCCAAGCAACAAACAACAACTGCCCTCCAAATGGTGAATTGAACACGATCGCTCCAGTTACTGTTCGTTTAATCAATCAGTTCCATCTAAAAGTGAAACATGCTCCTATTTAATTGCAATCTAGCTTCTAATCGAAGCTACCCTACTTCCTTCACTGTCGATTTCAGCCTACATTTTCCCACGGAAGTAATATATAAAAAGCTTATACCCGTACGTATAGTTAATTTAGATTTATTTTTTCTGAAAACATGAATGAAAATTTTTTATTTTGACGTTCTAATTAGCAAATTGTATAACTCTACATTATTTAGATGTTTTTTTTTTAATTTTCAAATAGTAATAATCTGAATAAATTTTATTTGGGTAATCGAAATAATAATATTATTATACGTATGGTCGATAATGAATTGGTTTTTAGATTTATCATTTTTTTATAGATAATAAATATGTTAATTTAAAGTTCTTTTATCTTAATAAAGAATTTTCTAAAATGGAGTTGACAAGTTGCTTATTTGAACTTTGATATCTTTGATATGCATCATATATGTAATTCTTTTGATCTTTTTATTTATGTTGGATGTATCCATTCATATATGATGGCTGAAAAAAAGATTGATTTTCGGGAATTTTCTTGACTGGAAAAATAAAGGAATATCTAGATTGTTTTTTATTTATTTTATCAAGTGTAAATCTTACAATATTTACAAATTTTTATTAAAAAACATTCTATAGTCTTAAAGATATGAGCGTTATCGTAAATCTGGATAAAAAATTTCCCCTCCATGGTCGAGATTTATCAAAAGAGAGTTATCTAAGAAAAAAAAATTAAGTTCATTATAATTCAATTAATTATGTACGTAGCAGATTTTTATTTTGATAAAACTACTCAGCCAATTTTTATTTAATAAAGCATGCTAATTGTAATTCACTTCTAGAAAAAATAAAAAATTGAAAAATTATAATATATAATTTTTTTTTATTTTCATGTGAAGCCTAATAACCGTATACGACCATATCAGAAATTTTTTTCACGAGTATGTGTAGCCATATATTTTTTGTATGCATGCCTATATATTTTCATATATATTTTTCCTATGGGCATTTCTTCTGCATACCTTCTCCGATATTCTTGTTTATTTAAAAATTAGCCCATCTGAATATCCTACTTTCCTCAACGCTCTACAACCGATTCTCACCCGTCTGCAATCAAACAATCCACAATTAACAATCAACAATTAACAATCCCCAATTAGCAATCTAAGTCTCAATCAAATCAACAGCAAGCATTTCCAAGGAAATAAAACAAGATGAGATCCTATTAAACTACCGCCAACAATTATCTTTCGCTTCATAAAAGTACAGTTCCTTGAGTAATACTCATACGGAGTCATAATTCAAACAATTGGCATCGACGTATGTCTATTTATATTATGATTATCCCAGGCCGGCAGATGTTCTGTTCTTTTCAGAAGTTATTGTTATTAAAATAACCAACTAACACTTAGTTTCGGTCGAATTACTCATTCTTATTAGTGAATATGAGCACCAGGATTGGTCTTATTAGCGAATCATTGTTGCTTCTCTCACTCACACTTGTTGTTAAATCGGAAGCCTTCGGATCGTTTGGCAACCGGGTCAGATCGGAGTCTACTTGTTCGTAAACCACTGCGACATTGTTTCTTTAATTTAGAGCTAAGTGTAAGATTATTATGTACATGCGTTAAGTATTTTTTCTAAATATCCCAGCGCTAAACAGCGCGTGTATATTTCACGTAACGTTCCCCAGAATTAACTACAACAACTCGGAGCTGTATGAATCGAGCAAAAAAGGAGACTAGGATAGGAGAAGAGATGGGCAGGGCTTGGGCGAATCAGACGCGGCAACTCTTATTACGGATAATCTAGAGTCATCATCGTCTAAATGAATGGTTGCTGGTGATGTTGCTCTTATAAAGAAGGTGGTGGAAGCTTTATAGTTTCCCTAATATCTGGTATATAAGAGTCGAGGTATGCCGGTCGTATGGTTAGTTTGCGCGAATACCTATGCCTAGTATCAGGCATTCTTAAGTTGTAACGAAAGTCATCCGAACTTTGGATATCTGATTCGGCAAGATGAAAATTTTTGTTGGACTTTGTTTGCTGGTGGTCGTTGCGACTTGCAGGGGAGATTACGTTAAATTTTTTGAGAAATGCACCAAAGAAAAAAACACTTTCGACTGTTTGAAAAAACGTGCGCTCGACGTTTTAGAAAGGGCTGTTGAGGACGATACGGTTTATGTTGTTAATGATTATGTGTCGATCGCTAGAGATCCAAAAGTCACTCCTGATGTCGTTCAAAGGTCCAGTGGGGAAAATGAGACGGCTTTGAGCTTGGATGATAAGCTTGACAGGAAGCTACATGAATATTTGGCTTCCAGAAGCATCAAACTGACCATTCCTGGAGGAGTTATTGAAGGTATTTTTTGATACTTTTTTATCCTCACAGTGGATTTTTATGATGATTGTATTCTAGGACGGGGTAAGAAGAAAGATAAAGGTGGATATGGAGGCGCTTTGATGATGGGAGGTCTTGCTATGGCAGGTAAGAGTTTTTTTTATTATATTGTGGAATGTTATGTTGTTACTCACGTTATTGAGAGAATTCTTGTATGTAAATTTTTATGTGAAATATTAGAGAAACTATCGGAACTTTTTTTGGTAATTATTAAAGAAATCATTGATTTTTAATCTAAAAATGTTCTAAGATCTGCATTTTCAATTTATGGTGCATTAAATTGTTTTAAAAATTGATTTATGATGATGAAGTTTTGAAAATGAAGACTTTTTTTCACACGCGTATGTTTTTTTAATTTATAAATTTTATATGCAACGTGGCAAGATTTCTTCAAATGAATTCATTCTCTCAATTATATGCAAAATTTAGATTTATTTACAACCACTTCGAAGATTTATCATAATAAGTTAACTATCGTTGAAAAGTATATGACATTGAAAATGCACGAATTTGGGTAAAAACCTTTTCAACGATAGATATATAGGTAGATAGACATATTTATTTGACCTTAGAGCCGAAGCTCCCTCAAGGACATCAATAAGCAATAGATTTTTTTTACAAAAGTATACAGTATAACAATATAATTACAACAATACCCTAGACAGCGCCTCGATATTAGATTGGCATTATAACCTTCAATATAATAAAACTAGCCAGACTCTATTCAGAGCTTCTATTTCACTTCTACTAGGGTAATTTTATGTTAATAAATAAATGATATTGAATTTAAATTAAGAAAACTATTAATCATATTAAATTTAACTATTAATCATATTTTTTTTAGGATTTTTTTGAAAAACTGAGAATATTTAATTGAAGTTATAACAAGTATTTTTTATCAAAAATAATATAAACGAACTGTATTCATTTTTTTATAAAAAATGTTTGAAGTTAGCTACTTTCGATATTTTACGTGAGTGGAAGTAAGTGAGCGATAGTCGGTAAAGAGAGGCAGCACTAGTGCGTGAGAAAGAAACCAATAGCCATAACCTATTGGTGTCTTTTTCTTACCGTGGAACCTCCTTAAAACGCTAGAAACAAAATTTTTCTTTTAATCATATAGTTTACTGTTACTGTTTAGTATAATAATTATAAATATTAATATTCGATTTTTTTCCAGGTGTAATGGCCCAATTAGCATACGCAAAAATCGCCTTCTTAGCGGGTACAGCTCTTTTGACTGCGAAAATAGCGTTAGTACTCAGCGCAATAATTGGACTGAAAAAATTAGTCTCCAGCGGCGGCGGAGGTCATGAAGTTATCTACGCTACAGCCTCCGATCCGCACGGTGGTTATGGAGGATGGTCCAGGTCTTTAGGATCCTCGTAGATAATTCAAAATATAACCAAAGCTCGATGAATCTCAATCAACAAATCAATAACTAGTTGTGTGTTACGTGTTATGTTTTTTTAATTTTGTATAAGTAATTAATTAATTAATTTATTTATTTATTGCTTATTTTGTTAATATTTATCGTTTAATAAAAAGATAGTTACTAAAATAGTTAATATATGATCTATTGATTAAAATTAGTTGTAACCCGGTAAGAATGTGGAAATACGGTGATTGCTACAGACGTCATTACTTTTCTAGGAAATCAGTTAACTTTCAAGACCCTTTCTCTCTCCGTAATGACGCACTTCTTCTATCTTTCATGTCTTACATTTCTTTTCACATCGTATATTTATGGATGTATGACATCCGTATCCAATTGTCGGTACAAAAAATTTTGCATTAATAAAGGTCAGATTATTTTTTTAAATCAAAAGAAAAAATTTTGTGTTAACTTGTGATTTTCTCTTAATGTTTTGTTAAATGATAGAAATGTTAAATTTAATATTTTCTCAATGTTAACATTTGTCGCTATACCAATAGAATAAATAAGATTTTAATAAGTCACTTTACCCGATGAAAAAAGATTTTGTCTAATCATATATAATGATGCATAATCGTCTATATATGATCAGATCCAAAAATTGGCCAGGTCTGATCATACATGACTTGATCTGATTATATATGAACAGATATGATTATATATGATCATGTATAATCACTCATGTATAATCAGATCCACAAATTGGCCAGGTCTAATCATACATAACTTGATCTGTTTATACATGAACAGACATGTTTATATATGATCATGTATAATCATATATGATCAGATCCAAAAAATGTCCAGATCTAATCATATCTAACTATATCTCGTGAAAAAATATTCTGATCAGACTTAATATAAACATTGGAAATATCAGACTTTATCAGGGTTGATATGGCCATGTCAAGATGTTGACAAACCTGAAGCCTAAATAAAATTGATGAATAAATTTACATTTATAATAAAGTTGATACAACTTATTTTAGTTGTCTTTACAACTTTCTTCAAAAACAGATAAACTCATTAATAGAGTACCAAAATTCTACTCTTTTCGGAATTTAACACTTCAAAGTCAAGTATCTAGAAAGGAAGAGTTCTGCGGCCATGCGCCATCTATCGAAGACTTTTAATACTAGTTTCGACAGTGCGAAACACGTGATTGTTCCATGGTGATGTCTTTTATTTGTAACTAATTAAAATGTTGTCAGATTTATGAATATTTCATTGATTATTTTAATATTTCCAAAGTTCTCAAATAATTTTAATACTCCATGAATGAATAACTAAAAATTACGTTTCATGATAAATTGATAAATCATACACATAAGATTTTTTCATTTGGCATAAAATTGCATGAAAAAGAATAATAATATCAATTTCATATTGTATTTAAAAAATAAAAAAAAATTTACTTTTTGTAAATTTTGTAACCGGATAAAACACGGTAACCGATTGGTTCTACAACAGTAATTTTTTTTTTAAGTTTTTTAAAAATGTAGAGTAATTTGAAAAATATGTAAAATTTATTTATTTTCATTTAATTAATAAAAAAACTAATTTTTTATAATAAAAAATAATATTTATAAATATTAAATAAATAAATATAAAAATAATATTTATAATAAAAATTAACAAAAAATTCTAAAATATTAATTTCTCAATTAAAAAAAAAATTTGTGAAAAAATTGAAAAGTACATAATTAATTGAAAAGTTCTAGAGCAACTTTAAAGATTTTTTTTT